AGAGATGGAGTGATGTGGTACAGGAGGACGTGGAGCTGAGTGGACTTGCCGATGACTGGTACCAGCGGTGTCAAGATCGGCCTCTGTGGAGGAGGCTCGTGAAGGACGCTACTGGGCAGTTGGAGGCAGTCGCCCTCCAGCAACAACGGAGGGCGGAGGAGCGACGCTCACAACAACGAGCGGAGCGCCGGGTGGCTAAAGCACAGCGATTTGGCACAGTAGGGGGCACAGGTGGTGCATCTGACAGTCATCTCATTCAGTCGACCCATGGTACCTGGGCCTGTCCCGTGACCACTGGCCGACGGGCCTTCCACACGTGGCATCAGGGGTGCACCTAGCCTGGTGCAAGCGATGTGATGACCTTACTGCCATTTTAGTTGTAGCGTGTGTCTGTGTATATCGGGGAGGGGGGGGGGAACAGCGGTGTAGCGATTCACGCAATGCTCTAGGAATCTGGCAATCTATATCTGAACTGGTCCTGAGCTTCCCCTAGGTCGACTCAGCCTCAAACGACGCTGCGTTGCTCGCCGACGTCACCCACCTGTGCTCGCCGCCCCTCCGCTTGCCGCTCTCGTTGAGCTCCAGGAGGAGGTCGGGGGAGTCGAAGGGCGAGGCGAGCGAGGGGGTCCCCGCCGGGGTGCAGGGCCCCCCGTTGGGGGTCGCCACGGACGACAGGGTCGGGTGAGCGGGCGGCATCGGCGGGAGTTGGGGGGCGCCCCCCACCCCGGCACCGACCAGGCCCCCCAGCTCGAGCAGGAGGTGCTGGTGAGTGGAGAGGTACTGGGCGGGGGGCAGCTTGGCCAGGCGCGCGCAGTGCAGCAGTTCGCGCTGTAGGAGCGGCAGGTTCGCCTGGGGGGTCACGTGGGGTGGGGGGGGGGGCACGGGTGGGCATGGTGGGCACGGGTGGGCATGGTGGGCACGGGTGGGCATGGGTGAGACAGGCAAGAGGAATTGGGTTGATGCGCGGACCTCCATCGGCTTGATTAGTTTACGTAACATTTTGACTTAAAACTTTCGTGACTGCAGGAATTCAAGTTCTTTGGTTCTTTCGGTAAAGTCACATAGAATTTTCTAAAATAAAATAAATAATAAAAAAACATTAATGTAGACTGTAGCCTGGTTCTTAACCTCGGTGAGTGTACTGGCAGTCTATAATGTAGGGTGTAGCCTGGTTTTTAAGCTTGGTAAGCGTAATGGCATTCTATAATGTTTTTAATTCTATTTTTTATTCCTGAAATAACCAAGAATAAGTCTACATTATAAACTGCTAGTCCACTCACTCAGTTTAATAACCATTGCGACAGTCTACATTATAGACTGCCAGTACACTCACTCCGATTAAGAGCCAGGCTACAGTCTACATTATAGACTTCAGTCCACTCACCCATCTTAAAAACCAGGCTACAGTCTACACTATAGACTGCTAGTACACTCACTCCGATTAAGAGCCAGGCTACAGTCTACATTATAGACTGTCAGTCAACTCACCCATCTTAAAAACCAGGCTACAGTCTACACTATAGACTGCCAGTACACTCACTCCGATTAAGAGCCAGGCTACAGTCTACATTAATGTTAATTTTTTATTCATAATTTTTATTATTTCTCTGTCTACGTGACTTCACGGAAAGAACCAAAGAATAGTTCACGTTAAATTCGCACAGCATGTGCGCGTGCACGGCGACACAAAGTCAAATATCCCCCGTATAACCTTAACATGCTTCTGAGGCAAGTGGCGTGAAGGCCGGGATGGCACGCCAGGGGGTGGGTGACCAGCACCACGCTGCCAATGTCTCCCTAGTGGCTATTTTTACGCAACGTACCAGGTTATCATTTGAGGCTGAGTCAACCTAGGGGAGACCCAGGACCGGTTCAGATAATCGTCACTGGCGTTGGTGGTCGTGGACAGGACTCCAACTCTGGTGGCCGGGTCCGTAGCGCATCGCACTAATCGCTACACTACCACTCCCCACCGACTACGTACACTCAACCCACACACCACTCACCACTCACCCACTCACCCACTCACACACTCACCCACTCCCACACTCACCCACTCAACCCACTCACCCACTCACACACTCACCCACTCACACACTCACCCACTCACCCACTCACACACTCCCACACTCCCACTCACCCACTCACACACTCACCCACTCACCCACTCTCACACTCACACACTCCCACACTAACCCACTCACCCACTCACACACTCCCACACTCCCACTAAACCCACTCACCCACTCACACACTCACCCACTCCCACACTCACACACTCACCCACTCACCCACTCACACACTCACCCACTCACCCACTCACACACTCACACACTCCCCCCCACACTCACCCACTCACCCACTCACAAACTCACACACTCCCACACCCACCCACTCTCACAATCACCCACTCACCCACTCTCACACTCACCCACTCACCAACTCACCCACTCACACACTCACCCACCCACTCACCCACACTCACCCACTCTCACACTCACCCACTCACCCCACTCACCCACTCACCCACTCACCCACTCACCCACTCACCCACCCCACTCACCCACCCACACTCACCCACTCTCACACTCACCCACTCACCCACTCACACACTCACCACACTCACCCACTCACCCACTCACCCACACTCACCCACTCACCCACTCTCACATTCACCCACTCACCCACTCTCACACTCACCAACTCACCCATTCTCACACTCACCCACTCACACACTCACCCACTCACCCACTCCCACACTCACCCACTCACCCACTCCCACACTCACTGACTCACCCACTCACACACTCACACACTCACCCACTCACATACTCACCCACTCCCACACTCACCCACCACTCACCCACCCACTCACTCACCCACTCACCCACTCTCACACTCACCCACCCACCCACTCTCACACTCACCCACTCACCCACTCACTCACCCACTCACACACTCACCCACCCACCCACTCACCCACTCACCCACTCTCACACTCACCCCCTCACCCACACTCACCCACTCTCACACTCACCCACTCACCCACCTCACCCACTCACCCACTCACACACTCACCCACTCACCCACTCACTCACCCACTCACCCACTCACACACTCACCCACCCACCCACTCACCCACTCACCCACTCACCCACTCACACACTCACTCACCCCCACACTCACCCACTCACCCACACTCACCCACTCACCCACTCACCCACTCTCACACTCACCCACTCACCCCACTCTCACACTCACCCACTCACCCACTCACACACTCACCCACTCCCACACTCCCCCACTCACCCACTCCCACACTCACTCACTCACCCACTCACACACTCACACACTCACCCACTCACATACTCACCCACTCCCACACTCACCCACTCACCCACTCACCCACCCACCCACTCACCCACTCACCCACTCTCACACTCTCACATTCACACACTCACCACCACCCACTCACCCACTCACCCACACTCACCCACTCTCACACTCACCCACTCACCCACTCACAAACTCACACACTCCACTCACCCCCCACACTCACCCCACTCACCCACACTCACCCACTCACCCACTCACCCACTCTCACACTCACCCACTCACCCACTCACCCACTCTCACACTCACCCACTCACACACTCACCCACTCCCACACTCACCCACTCACCCACTCCCACACTCACTCACTCACCCACTACCACCCACTCACACACTCACCCACCCACCCACTCACCCCACACTCACCCACTCTCACACTCACCCACTCACCCACTCACTCAACCCACTCACCCACTCACACACTCACCCACCCACCCACTCACCCACCCACACTCACCCACTCTCACACTCACCCACTCACCCACTCACACACCTCACCCACTCACCCACTCACCCACTCTCACATTCACCCACTCACCCACTCTCACACTCACCCACTCACCCACTCTCACACTCACCCACTCACACACTCACCCACTCACCCACTCCCACACTCACCCACTCACCCCACTCCCACCACTCACTGACTCACCCACTCACACACTCACACACTCACCCACTCACATACTCACCACTCCACACTCACCCACCACTCACCCACCCACCCACTCACCCACTCACCCACTCTCACACTCACCCACTCACCCACTCTCACACTCACCCACTCACCACTCACTCCCCACTCACCACTCACCCACCCACCCACTCCCCACTCACCACTCTCACACTCACCCACTCACCCACACTCACCCACTCTCACACTCACCCACTCACCCACTCACTCACCCACTACCCACTCACACACTCACCCCACTCACCCACTCACTCACCCACTCACCCACTCACCACTCACCCACCCACCCATCACCCACCACCCACTCACCCCTCTCACACTCACCCACTCACCCTCACACACTCACACACTCACTCACCCCACACTCACCCACTCACCCACACTCACCCACTCACCCACTCACCCACTCTCACCCTCACCCACTCACCCACTCTCACACTCACCCACTCCCACTCACACCTCACCCACTCCCCCTCACCCACTCACCACTCCACACTCACACTCACTCCTCACCCACTCACACACTCACATCACCCACTCACATATCACCACTCCCACATCACCCACTCACCCACCACCCATCACCCACTCCACCCACTCTCACACTCACACACTCACCCACTCACACACACTCACCCCACCCACCCACTCACCCACTCACCCACACTCACCCACTCTCACACTCACCCACTCACCCACTCACACACTCACACACTCACACACCCCCACACTCACCCACTCACCCACTCACCCACACTCACCCACTCACCCACTCACCCACTCTCACACTCACCCACTCACCCACTCTCACACTCACCCACTCACACACTCACCCACTCCCACACTCACCCACTCACCCACTCTCACACTCACTCACTCACCCACTCACACACTCACACACTCACCCACTCACATTACTCACCCACTCCCACACTCACCCACTCACCCACTCACCCACCCACCCACTCACCCACTCACCCACTCTCACACTCACACACTCACCCACTCCCACACTCACCCACTCACCCACTCCTCACACTCACACACTCACACACTCTCACACTCACTCACCCACTCACCCACACTCACCCACTCACCCACTCCTCACACTCACACACTCACCCACTCACACACTCACCCACTCACACACTCACCCACTCACACACTCACCCACTCACCCACACTCACCCACTCACTCACTCACCCACACTCACCCACTCACACACTCACCCACTCACCCACTCACTCACTCACCCACACTCACCCACTCACCTTGAGGAAGGGGATGACGAAGGGGCGCAGCGGGAAGTTGGTGGCCTCCTGCAGCTTCCCGTGGAAGTCCTCGATGCTCAGCGTGGAGTTCTGCACGGACATCACCACGACTGCTCACCGAATGTCACCAAGACCAACTGGGACCTACATCTCACTGGTGACGAGATATCACTCACTACGTGTGTCCAACAGGGACTCTGCATCTCACTGGTGACGAGATATCACTCACTACGTGCGTCCAACAGGGACTCTGCATCTCACTGGTGACGAGATATCACTCACTACGTGCGTCCAACAGGGACTCTGCATCTCACTGGTGACGAGATATCACTAACTACGTGCCTCCAACAGGGACTCTGCATCTCACTGGTGACGAGATATCACTCACTACGTGCGTCCAACAGGGACTCTGCATCTCACTGGTGACGATATATCACTCACTACGTGCGTCCAACAGGGACTCTGCATCTCACTGGTGACGAGATATCACTCACTACGTGTGTCCAACAGGGACTCTGCATCTCACTGGTGACGAGATATCACTCACTACGTGCGTCCAACAGGGACTCTGCATCTCACTGGTGACGAGATATCACTCACTACGTGCGTCCAACAGGGACTCTGCATCTCACTGGTCACGAGATATCACTCACTACGTGCGTCCAACAGGGACTCTGCATCTCACTGGTGACGAGATATCACTCACTACGTGTGTCCAACAGGGACTCTGCATCTCACTGGTCACGAGATATCACTCACTACGTACGTCCAACAGGGACTCTGCATCTCACTGGTGACGAGATATCACTCACTACGTGCGTCCAACAGGGACTCTGCATCTCACTGGTGACGAGATATCACTCACTACGTGTGTCCAACAGGGACTCTGCATCTCACTGGTGACGAGATATCACTCACTACGTGTGTCCAACAGGGACTCTGCATCTCACTGGTGACGAGATATCACTCACTACGTGTGTCCAACAGGGACTCTGCATCTCACTGGTGACGAGATATCACTCACTACGTGCGTCCAACTGGGACTCTGCATCTCACTGGTGACGAGATATCACTCACTACGTGCGTCCAACAGGGACTCTGCATCTCACTGGTGACGAGATATCACTCACTACGTGTGTCCAACAGGGACTCTACATCTCACTGGTGACGAGATATCACTCACTACGTGCGTCCCTGTTGATGAGACACCTGGGGGAGGCCTAGGACCGGGTTAGTACAGGAAAAAGCGGCAGTGGGCAGGTGGGGGAATTGTGGGGGGCAGCAGTGGGGGTGGGGGGGGTGTGGGGGGCGGCAGTGGTGGGGGATGTGGGCGATTATGGGGGCAGCATTGGGGGTGGGGGGGGGGTGTGGGGGGCAGCAGTGTGGAGATTGTGGGGGGCGGCCGGGGGGGGGGTATCTCACCACCAGCCCCAGTACGAGCACGCGCACGCGCTCGCCGATCTCCGGGGAGATGTCGCAGCTGAACTGCTGCAACGTGGCCAGGAAATGCTTCAACTTGCTGAGCTGACGCGCCCCGCACGCCGCCGGGAGCGCGGGGGGCTGGCCCAGCAGGGGGGCAGGGCCCCCCGCGCCGCTCCCCCCACCGCCGCCTCCGCTTCCTCCTCCACCGCCGCCGCCGCCTCCTCCTCCACCTCCGTTTCCTCCTCCTCCCCCACCTCCTCCTCCTCCTCCGGCACCTCCACTGCTGCCATGGTATCCGGTCGGTGGGGATGAGGGGGACCCCCCAAGCGAGCCGGCAGACGGGGAGTGGCTGCTGCTGGTGCCGTTAAGCACTGCGGGGGGAGGGGCGGGGGTGGCGGGGGGGGAGGCGGGGGGGGGCCCGCGGGGGGGCGGGGGGCGGGGGGTGTGGGCAGACAGAGTTGGCACGTCCAGTGGCGTGGGGAGGAGGATGACGCCGTGCGGATCACGTGCCGCTGACGTTTGTGACGCGCTCTCGCAATGACGCGTCAGTCTGTGTACCTGCCTGTGCCCCCCCCCCCCCCACACATAGAACCCAGCCCCCCCCCCCGGCCTCTCCATATCTCACCCCCTTACCTCCCACCTACCAGTCCCCGCTCCTCTTCCCCAGTCAACGTCCCCCCCATCCACCTCCTCCCCCTGTCCCCCTGTTCCTCCTCCCCACTCTGCCTCCTGCTCCCCACCGCGACCCCGAGGAGGCTGGCGGGGCTGAGAGGCGCCGCGTCGACGGCTCCCGCGCCCCAGTGAGAGTTAAATGGAGCTTTACCTGTTGGTGTGGATCTCGCGGGATTAGCGGGGGGGGGGGGGGTTGAGAGGGAAGAAGCCGAGGGGTTGGGTGGGAGGGAGTAGGGGGCGGGGGAGTAGGGGGAGTGGGGGGGGTGAATAATCCCAACGCGGAGCGAGCAGCCAGATGGGGCTGTCAGAGAGGATTTACGTCGGCACGTCTGGGGGGGGGGGAGTTGGGGGGAGGGGGGAGAGTGGGGGGCGGGGGAGATGGGGGGGGGCTCTGCTTAACTCAGCCGTGGGAGGAAACGTCAGCAGCTGGTCCCGGGAGATTAATCTGCAGCATGGATCTGATCTCTATCTCTCCCTGCCCGTGCACACTCCCCCCTCTCTCTCCCTGCCTCTCGCTCTCTCGCTCGCTCGTGTCTGCTCACAGACAATGCGTGTAATGTTCAACATGCCTCTATACCCGTGCCGCGTCTGTACTGCGACCCCCCCTCACTTCCCCGCCCCTTCGCGCCCCACGCTCGACTCGGCAGCAGCTCGGCTCCTCTCCGGTGCGCGCGACAGGGGAGCGCTCCACCCCCCCGCGCCCCCCCCCCCAAATCGGTCGTCCCCATCCCTCACCCCCCCACCCACCCCGCGTGTGCACACATCATTATGTGATCACAGCGGGAGGCCGGGCCGAGGCCACTCCGAATCGCACTTGTGTCCGTCTCCGTGGCAGGACGCGGAGCGCGGCGCCTTCGTGCCGATGTCGTCCGACGTGAGATCGCGAGTGCGGGGGAAAGGGGGGGCCGCGGGGGGGGGGCTGCGGTGGCGGGGGGGGGGGGCGAGGGGGGCCCTCGTGCGTGAACGGCACCGGACCGTGGCGAGAATTAACGAGCACAAAGTGTGATCGGGCTGTTCACGCGTCGCGGTTCGAAGCGTAACGGACGCTAACGCAGAGTCAGATTCGGAGGCGCGTGAGTTAGAGACCCCCCCCCCCCCCCCGATTGGTGTGTGCAGCGACGGGCGGCTCTTGTTCGAGGGCGACCGGGCCGGTGACCGGCTCCCGGCAGCGGTGGCGGCCGAGTGTTCACCCACACGGGCGGCGCTGTAGTCCCCACGCTAAGGTGCTGCTTCACACGATCTACCAGGAGGACATGGGTTCGATCCCCACACTGCTGCTGTATATTTGGAATTTGCGTGTCTCTCTCTCTCGCCGTGTTCGCGTGGACTTTTTCCGGGCCCTCCGGTTTTCCCCTCCACGTTTAAAATCAACATCACCACGCGTGTCGAGTATTTGGCTGCAATCAATGTCCACGCGATACGCCACTACTTCGTTGAGCTATTTCATCTGCGGCCAGGTCGCTCCTGTGAAAGAGCTGCACAGCCTAGTGGGCCTTAGCTGGTAAAATAAACAATATTTAGAAATATATATTTTTATATTGATTGCGCTGTTGCCGCACAATTGGATGAGATGTATACGCGTAAAGATGACTTCACTGCGCTTCGCGTAAACGCACCGTCCTCGTGCGAAAAATGGGACGCATCAAAAACCCTCGTGTGTATGTGCGGCGATTAGCAGCGTTGACCATGTGCGGTGCGAAAGAAATTCAACATACGCACGTACAACGCGTCGTGGTCGTGCGTCATTTAGCATGCAACGTGAAACGCGGGAACGCAGAGAACTGACGATGCACGGCCGACTCGACACTTGAATGCGAGTGCCGGTCGACCGGGAGCGACCACCGGAGCAATAACCACGAGACGGAGACGTGAGTTGCATCAATAGGCTGCACGTCCTGTGCAACTGGGAGTGGTCGCATGGAAAGATCTTGAAGTCAATCGATCTACACGGAGGGAGGGCGACTGTCGCCAACGTCTTTGAAAAAGGACGTGGATCATAGTGAGAGATGGACAAACACTGCCCATGGACTAATACTGCCCATGGACTAACACTGCCCATAGACTAACACTGCCCATAGACTAACACTGCCCATGGACTAACACTGCCCATGGACTAACACTGCCCATGGACTAACACTGCCCATGGACTAACACGGACCATAGACTAACACTACCCATAGACTAACACTGCCCATGGACTAACACTGCCCATAGACTAACACTACCCATAGACTAACACTACCCATAGACTAACACTACCCATAGACTAAAACTGCCCATGGACTAACACTGCCCATGGACTAACACTGCCCATAGACTGACACTGCCCATGGACTAACACTGCCCATGGACTAACACTGCCCATGGACTAACACGGACCATAGACTAACACTGCCCATAGACTAACACTGCCCATGGACTAACACTGCCCATGGACTAACACGGACCATAGACTAACACTTCCCATGGACTAACACTGCCCATGGACTAACACGGACCATAGACTAACACTGCCCATGGACTAACACTGCCCATGGACTAACACTGCCCATGGACTAACACTGCCCATGGACTAACACTGCCCATGGACTAACACTGCCCATGGACTAACACGGACCATAGACTAACACTACCCATAGACTAACACTCCCCATGGACTAACACTGCTCATGGACTAACACTGCCCATAGACTAACACTGCCCATGGACTAACACTGCCCATGGACTAACACGGACCATAGACTAACACTGCCCATGGACTAACACTGCCCATGGACTAACACTGCCCATGGACTAACACTGCCCATGGACTAACACTGCCCATGGACTAACACGGACCATAGACTAACACTACCCATAGACTAACACTCCCCATGGACTAACACTGCTCATGGACTAACACTGCCCATAGACTAACACTGCCCATGGACTAACACTGCCCATGGACTAACACTGCCCATGGACTAACACTGCCCATAGACTAACACTGCCCATGGACTAACACTGCCCATGGACTAACACTGCCCATGGACTAACACTGCCCATAGACTAACACTGCCCATTGACTAACACGGACCATAGACTAACACTGCCCATAGACTAACACTGCCCATGGACTAACACGGACCATAGACTATCATTGTCCATAAACTAAGTGCCCATAGACTAACACTGCCCATACACTGGCACTGCCCATAGACTAACAATGCCCATAGACTAACACTGCCCATAGACTAACACTGTCCATAGACTAACACTGCCCATTGACTAACACTGCCCTAATATGGGCAGTGTTAGTCTATGT